TGTTGCCTGTCGACCTTTAATATATTAGGGTTTTTAGGTCTAATCTCTAAGGCTAAATCTTTTAACAACATAATATAAAACAAAGAAGATTTGTCCAGTGAGGAGACTTGAGATTAAAGCCTCTTATCAAACATTGTTTCTTCCTAATGTGGCATATTAGAATCATATCAAAGGACCCTAATTAATGACATTTTGTTATGCTACTTAGCTTCTATCAAAAGATAAAAATACAATAGCGTAAAGTACAACGGTTAAAATTCTAACTTAATTTTTTATATTAATTCAATATGATACAGTACAATTCAATGTATCAAACATGACAATGAAATCTTACAAGAACATACGCACAACCAATGTGGAAGATTTGTCCAGTGAGGAGACTTGAGATTAAAGCCTCTTATCAAACATTGTTTTTTCCTAATGTGGCATATTAGAATCATATCAAAGGACCCTAATTAATGACATTTTGTTATGCTACTTAGCTTCTATCAAAAGATAAAAATACAATAGCGTAAAGTACAACGGTTAAAATTCTAACTTAATTTTCTATATTAATTCAATATGATACAGTACAATTCAATGTATCAAACATGACAATGAAATCTTACAAGAACATACGCACAACCAATGTGTTATTTGTATTTTTTTGAGTGTTTTGGCTGAATATATTTGTTATTTTGCTATAAAATAATCATTTGATGTAATTTTTAATTTTCAAAAATAGAGTATGTGAAATTTATTTATTGTACATATCTGGGCTCTATTTTTTAAATTCATTTTCAACGATACATTCTCCCATAAAAAATATTATATGTAAGCCATAAATTTTTCTTTATTTTTTAATCATGCATTCTAAAAAAAAAAAATTCACTATTTCAAGATATATTTTTTCTCAAAATCTCGTTTTAATAGAGCCTAAACATGCCATAACACATTTTGGTAAATTTCTTTATAGTTCAAGCCTAAAGGGTAAGATTATTTCATGAAGGCTCCCTCGGGAAATTGAAATATTTCTACCTATAGTCTTATATACTAGAATAAAGCTTATTGTACACTCAATGAATAACAATTTGGATGACATTGTGTGCAAATTCAAAAATGCTTTGACGGGACAGTGTGTTGAATTCAAAAACTGTCCAATCATGTGCCGATATGTTGCACAATGTCAACAATGATGTCAAACAAAATGTACAAATAGCATGAATATATATACTATGTGACCTAGTTTTGTTAGTAGAGCATGGGATTTTATTTATTCATTTATTGCCAGTAGTTGCCTAAGGGCATTTTCAACCATTGCACCATTTTTTGGTGCAAAGTTGCTCCAATGCAACACCAAACTTTGCACCATTTTGGTGTAAAATGGTGCAAAGTGTAAAATGTCTCTTTTGCCATTATTTAACATTTTTCAAATAAATTTGTTAAGGGTATTTATGTCATTTGTGCTATATATTTTTTAATACAATAAATTATTATTATTATTATTATTATTATTATTATTTGCATTTAAAATAAATTTTAAATGTAAGACATAATAATTAATAAATTAATTAGAAGACGAAAACAATTTGAAATACATCAAACACGATTATTTATTAAAGTTAACACGAGATATATTAAATAGCGACATATATAAAATAATCTAATTTTATTTTTAAAAAAAAGATACATAAAAAATTGTATAGTTCAATAATCTGGAAGATCACTTTCAGATTCTCCAAAATCACTAAAATATTTTCCAGTTGAGTGCATAGTTCATAATAATGCATAACATGATTATCAAGGATGAACGTAATGTTGATGCACCAGTTCAAGAATGGACGGAAGCGTCAAGTCCAGAAGTTGAGCTGGTTGAAGACGAAAATCGACATTTTCAAGAATTCCTAGCTCGTCATAGACAAATCAATGATAAACAAACTCACAATGCACTTCGAAATGCATTAATCGATCATTTGTGGGATGAACATATGAATTCTGGGAATTAAATTGCAAAAATTTAGCGATTTCGTAATATCGTCTATCCAAATTCGAAATGCATTGTACTATTTTCTGATGACATGATTTCATATTTTCGTTGTTGTATTATTTTTATTAATTGTTCTATGTTTTTTATATTTATTAATGAATTTAATTTTTCCCGTAATTTAACGTAATTATTTATTTATTAAATTATGTATTTATGAAATAATTAAATAAATAATATTTCAAATAAATAAATTATAAAGAATAAAAAAGGGGAAGAAAATGGTTAAACACTGTTCATTTGGTGTAATTTTTTTTGTAATGGTTGGAGATGAATTTTAGTTTGGTGCAAAATTTAGTATAAAATGGTGCAGGGTTGGAGATGGTCCAATCTCAGTTTTCCTACACTTATCTAGTACATCTATCACATCACTCCGTTAGACATTATTAATTAAATGATAATCACCAGTGAGCATTAAAATCAACATTGTTTTAATGAGTAATTTAAACAATTATGACATAGTCCCTATAAAATGATAGATTGTTTGAGAATATTAATTTTAAAAATCCAAATTCTCACACTTCAGACAAATCAAAATGCTATTACTTTTAACTCCTTTATCACTTGGAGATTTTTTGCTCGTTTATTCTAACTAAAACAAACATATTAATAATGCTTTCGAAATTATAATCAAATGTTTTCCATTGATCCCGCATCCAATTCATAACTAGAAAGTTTTTTCCAAATTTTTCTAAAATTTAAGTAATGAAAAGTGCTAGAAAATCTGATTTCATTTTGAATGTTGAGTTTCTTTTAAAAGATTAATTTTACCAAGATGTAATTCGAGGTGAGGAATTTTTACTTGGAAAATTAATCCAGATTAGAAAATGTGTTAGGCCCTGATCGGTAGGGATTTTGAGAATTGATTTTTTGACCGTTAAAAGAAAAGTGGGAGCTAATTGCGAGTGAATAAGTCAAAAATCACGCCTGGAATAATGAAATAACGGTGAAAAAATCAATTTTTTGGAGTGAAAAATTACTCCAAACACCCCCTTAATATCATGCACTAATGACTATTTTAATCAGGTCCAACAGCTAAATTAATTAGTACATAAAGCGTAATAATGATATCATGTTGAGAGAAGCATGCATGTTTTCAAATTAATAATCAATTAGGGGTTCTATGAATTCTTTAGTGCATGTAATTGCTGTCCGTCTTGTTTTATTCCTGCCAAGCATAGTAATTAATTTTGCATGGATTTGGAAAGTCACTTTTTATTTCTTGTAGCCCGTTTGATGTGATTTTTGAAAAGTCAAAAGAAATTTTTGAGACTCTAAAATTGTTTTCGACCTGTTTGTCTGATTTTATGGGAGTGCTTCTTGCAGTTAAAAAAGTTTTTAGAGGAAGTTGATTCAACCATGTTAAGTAACTTTTTTATTATACGAAATCCATCTTTTCAAAATATGAGTGGAATAATGTTTTTTTTAAAAAAAATATTATTTTGTAGAAATAAAAATAGGTGAAATAATATTTTTTTGAAAAATGAGTAATTAAAAAAGAAATAATTTTTTTATTTACGTGTAATATTATTTTATAAAAAATTATGTGATTAAAAAAAATATAAAAAAAATATAATATAATGTAATGGAAATTAATGAAGAGAAGGCATATGTCAGCTCAAACAAACAGTTAGTATCGCACTAAATATTTTATTTTAGTTTAATTGTCTTTGAAGTTCTCGAAATTGCTGTCTAAAATACAGACAAGGAGACCTATCTCTCTCTCTACATTTCACTTTCCATACCAACTGAGCTCTCTCTTTTCTTCTTGGCTTCACAATATCACAATCTTGATGAGTGAGAGAGGAAGAGAGCCTCCCTGCCTGTGCCTGTGCCTGTTCATGCAACTTCTACAAACACTTTAACAAACTCAAACGCCCAGAGTTTTGTGGGGTTTTCTGAATGGCGCTTTTGATGCACAGAGAGAGCAATAGTTGCGGAAGTTACAGTAAACAGCAAATGGATGCTAGCAAGTATGTGAGATATACACCAGAGCAAGTGGAAGCCCTGGAGAGAGTCTATGCAGAATGCCCAAAACCAACTTCTTTGAGAAGGCAACAGCTCATTAGAGAGTGTCCCATTCTTTCTAACATTGAACCTAAACAGATCAAAGTCTGGTTTCAAAACCGCAGGTATTTATTTATCCAAATATCACTAGCTCATTAGGGCCTTTTTTGTACTTCGTCTCTGGTGTTTATGAGGTATATTCGAGGTGTATAATATTTTTCTTTGAATCCAAGGTTTGTTATTTTTCCAGTTTTGTATCTCTTTAATTACCTTTTTGTAGATTCAGAATTAACTATTTCTGAATAGAAGCTTTCTGTAATTTTTTTTATAGGAAAAAGATCTACTTTCTTACAAGAAAAGCCTAAAAGGGCATTTTTCAGTTCTTGCCTTATCCCTGGATTTGGCTGTGTGGAAAATGTATTTTTCGGTTAGATTGTTTAAAGAATTTGGTCAACAACTTAGCTTTAGATTTGCTTTATCTTTTTGGTGAAGTTATTTTTCTTTACTATTGAAGGCCTGAAGTTTGCATAAAATGTTGAGAATGCAAATGAAATTTTTCTGTCTAAAAATGCAGTGTGATAAGGTTGGTTTGCTTCTATTTTCTTTATTTTTCTATTCTCTGATATGCAAAATTATATTGTGATGACCAAAACGTGTAATTGAATTATTTCACTTATTTTCATCATTTTTTTTTCCTTTTTTTATCATCCAGGTTTCTGTATGTTAATTAACATGTTCTTGATTTTGGTTTTAGTGACTTCCTCCCATCTACTTGATTTATAATTATTTGATTTAAAGCTTGAGGATTATTTTCATTTCTGCACTGAATCAAGTTACTTCATATTCTGTCCGTATCCTTCCTTCAAAGTATTATGTCAAATTTGTTACCTCAACTCTATGGCAGCTTTTCAATATGAGCAAAATGGTTGAAAATATTGTGTGACATTTATAAGTTCATTGTGATGATATGGATCCAGTTTTTACCTCACACTACAAGCCTAAAAAGCAATGTGTTCTTTTATGATTACCATAAATTGTTCTCCTGGTCACGAGTTGAATCGTCTCCTTGAGATAAAAAAGAATTGGCCAAGAACTGAAATATTGAAAGCGATCCATTAGAAAAACTACTTAAATTTTTCTTTTGTAGATGCCGTGAAAAGCAGAGGAAGGAAGCATCTCGTCTCCAGACTGTTAACAGGAAGTTGAGTGCCATGAACAAGCTATTGATGGAAGAGAATGACCGCCTTCAGAAGCAGGTCTCACAGCTGGTTTATGAAAATGGTTACATGCGCCAACAATTGCACACAGTGAGTTTTCTTAGTTTATTTGCCTACTAGGAATTCTGGTTTGAGCTCAGTATAATTTATTCTCACATCCTTGAGCAATGCTTCATGTTTTCCGTGAATTTCTTGAATAAATCAGCATTTATATGTGACCACCAAATCTTATTCTTATTCTTCTTTTTTTTTTTGGCCTTGTTTATTTTGCAATGAATCTCACGTTATGGTTTGTAATAGGTAAGTGCACCGACCACTGATACTAGCTGTGAATCTGCCGTCATGAGTGGTCAACAACAACAGAAAAACATAACACCTCAGCATCCAGAAAGGGATGCTAATAGCCCAGCTGGGTAATTGATGACGATTCCTTTTTCAATCTGAACAGCACACTATTAGTATTTTGGGTTGTTGGTCTAAACACTAATTGAAGCTTTTTCTTTTGTATCCCAGTCTTCTTGCTATAGCTGAGGAGGCCCTGGCAGAGTTCCTTGGAAAGGCTACTGGAACTGCTGTCGACTGGGTCCAAATGATAGGGATGAAGGTATGTAGTTAAATTCCTTGCGGTGGTCCTGATTCTCTTTTCAGATGTTTACTTGGATTAAAATTGTGTGCCTTCAACTGAAACATGTTATTTTCTTGTAGCCTGGTCCGGATTCTATTGGTATTGTTGCTATTTCACGCAACTGTAGTGGGGTAGCAGCAAGAGCCTGTGGTCTCGTGAGTCTTGAGCCAAGTAAGGTAATATTGTCTGTTCTGCTATTTTTTGTTTGCTATGAATGTCGAGATTTGTGTTTTACCATTTTTTGTTCCATTAAAACTCTAGAAACCTTTTTATGCAGGTTGCCGAGATTCTAAAAGATCGCCTTTCTTGGTTTCGCGATTGCCGCTGCCTTGATGTAATGAGTGTAATTCCTACAGGAAATGGAGGGACTATAGAGCTCATGTATATGCAGGTTTTTGTCTTTGCACAAAATTCTATCCTTGAACTTGGAATTTTCTTAGCTTCTAGGCTCTAGCACAGTGTGTAATTGGTTTTCAATGTGTTTTTTTCTTTAGACTTATGCACCAACAACATTAGCATCGGCTCGTGACTTTTGGACATTGAGATATACTACAAGTTTGGAAGATGGAAGTCTTGTGGTGAGCGCAATTCCAAAAAATTCTACTTCTAAATTCGTAGTTTAGAAAGCCGTCTGTTTAACTGTCCAATTGCAAGAGAGAATGAATAAAAGCTAAAACTTGCTGAAGTGAGTTGGGTTCCCTCCAAAGGAAACATCCTTTTGTAGAATTTCTTTAGCTATACACTTTTGATATATTTAGTAAGATGGATTCGACGGCATCAGACCATCATTTATGTATCATTTCTTTAACTCGATAAATGTTAATGCAGATATGCGAGAGGTCTTTAACATCTTCCAGTGGTGCCCCAACAGGGCCCACAGCTCCATGCTTTGTAAGAGCTGAAATGCTACCTAGTGGCTGCCTGATACGTCCTTGTGAGGGTGGTGGCTCCATCGTTCACATTGTTGATCATTTTGACTTGGACGTGAGAAATAAATTCATCTAGTTTTTTGTTTTTTTTATCTAATATTCTTTCTCCTAATTCCTAATGTATCTGTTATGTTTTTTTATACAGGCTTGGAGTGTTCCTGAAGTTCTGAGGCCACTTTATGAATCTTCTAAAATCCTTGCACAGAAGATGACTATGGCTGTAAGATTTTCTTTTTTTCTGCACATTGCTTGTTTCACTTTGTGCCATCTTAGATACTCAATGTATTCTCTATTTTGCATTCAGGCCTTGCGACACATAAGACAGATAGCGCAAGAAACCAATGGAGAAATTCAATGCAGTGGCGGTCGCCAACCTGTTGTTCTAAGGGCATTGAGTCAAAGATTGTGTAGGTGAGACATTTTGGAATGTGATTTAAAAAATTATGGATATTATTAATTTAAAAGGATAAAAATGGAACCTAAATATTTCCCACGTTATTCTTTCAAGACGATGGGGGTACTTTGTGGTGGTACTGCACCGATAATATACACATGTATTCCATTTTTTCCTGTTAAAGTAGTTATCTCTTGTACCAGATAATTCTTATATAATTCTGATGTAGCTTCGAAAGGTTTCCATTTGTTTTTCAATATTTCACAATTTTGGGACTGTATCAGGGGATTTAATGACGCTGTTAATGGGTTTGTCGATGATGGTTGGTCGATCCTCGGTGGTGATGGGGTAGAAGATGTAACCATTGCCATAAATTCATCTCCGAGCAAATTTCTTGGTTCCCAGCACAACTCTTTGTCCATCCTCCCTTCTTTTGGGGGTGTCCTTTGTGCTAGAGCATCAATGCTTGTTCAGGTTTGTTTTCATATATTAATTGTTCAAGGATGAAATAGGGTTTGTTGCTGATTTATAAGAAGGCTGTTTCCAACTTATCTTGTTTATAATTGGCTGTTGCGGTGTGTTGACAGAATATTGTTTACTTTTTTGGTAATTTATTACACAGAATGTTCCCCCTGCGTTGCTTGTTCGTTTTTTGAGAGAGCATCGTTCCGAGTGGGCTGACTATGAGATCGATGCTTATTCTGCCGCATCTCTTAAAGCTAGTCCTTATGCAGTTCCTTGTGCAAGGCTTAGCGGGTTTCCTGGCAGCCAAGTCATTTTACCTCTTGCCCAGACTGTAGAGCACGAAGAGGTACCCAATATGATTTTCTTTGACATTGTGTACAAATCTAACATGTTCAGTAGGACGGATTTCGTAGCACTCGACTAATCAAGGAAGAAATAGAAGCTAAAATTTTGTTTACTATGCTAGTCAGTCCTGCTAGTATGCATACCAAACATGCACGTAAGTCTTGCATTGACATTTTATGTCACTAAAGTCTTTTTGTTTGATCCTAGTTATTGGAGGTGGTTCGCTTAGAAGGTCATGCATTCTCACCAGAGGAGATAGCTTTGTCCCGGGATATGTACTTGTTACAGGTTTGTTCACTTTTTAATTATGTGTGATTTTTTTTACATCATGTTATTGTAAATAAAAAAGACACTGACTTTGGTTTATGTAAATTTTGTGATATTGATTTAAATTTGTTACAATGGCAGCTATGTAGTGGGGTTGATGAGTCAACTTCTGGTGCCTGTGCTCAGCTCGTCTTTGCACCAATTGATGAATCATTCGGTGATGATGCTCCTTTGCTTCCATCTGGTTTTCGTGTTATACCGTTGGATGCTAAAACAGTTGGGTGACCTTTTACTTTCAAAATGTCATTAGATTTCAATTAACTGTTGTATTGTTTCTGATTGTATAATAAATTTTATCTCGATTATGATGAAGGATGGGGATGGAGCAACTCGGACATTAGATTTGGCATCTACCCTTGAGGTGGGACCTAGTGGAGCTCGTACAGTTGGCGAAGTCGATTCGTGTAAGCAGAGTCTTAGGTCTGTTTTGACTATTGCATTCCAATTCACTTTCGAAAATCACTATCAAGACACAGTGGCTGCTATGGCCCGTCGATACGTGCGTAATATCGTGAGCTCTGTTCAGAGAGTTGCTATGGCAATTTCTCCGTCTCGACTCAGCTCCCAAATGGTACCGAAGACACTTCCTGGTTCACCAGAGGCTATTACATTGGCACGATGGATTTGCAGGAGCTATAGGTATAACTTTATATAATCGATTCATATTTAGAGATTGTTCCGTGGATTAGACCTTACTAAATTTAAGAGCAAAACTAAGTGTAACAAAACCGAACAGACACATTCACAATCACACACACGGTGTTCGCTTTCAGTGTGAGAACTACTTCCAATCTTCACTGCTCGTTTTCACTAAAAATGAGAAGAAAATTACATTTGAGATGCCAAGGCTCTCGCTTTACGTTAAAAAGGCTCCACCTATTAGCTCCACCTATTATTCTTTATCTCGTAGAAATAATAGGAATTATAATACAATATATGGATAGTATAATAAGGCCATGCAGTACAGCAAAGATGAATCATTAGAGTGTAATTGATGTACTAAGAAAGCATAAGCTTTGATAAATTATGGACCTCAGTGATTGTTTAGAAGCTTGACTGTTCGAGTCTGTTGCATGTTGGATTCTTGTAGTGATTTTGCCATGAAAGATTTTCTGAATATAATAAGTAAAATACAAACTATTGAAATAAAGCCACCCTTGGTCCATAGTAGAGAAATGCTCGTGCTTTTCTAATGCCTGTTGTGTATCAGGATGCACACTGGCGGAGAATTCCTTCAGATCGATTCGGAAGCTGGTGATGCTGTTCTGAAACAACTGTGGCATCATAGTGATGCTATTATGTGCTGCTCTGTCAAAATGAATGTTAGTGATGACAATGTTTTTTATCCTCAATTTTTTTCTCTAGGCTTCTGTTTTTTGTAGAAAAGAGAGAGCATTACGTGTTCAACTAATTTCTGGTTGCAGGCCTCTGCGGTTTTCACATTTGCAAACCAGGCAGGTCTCGACATGCTTGAGACCACACTTGTGGCACTTCAGGATATAATGCTCGAGAGGATTTTGGACGAAACTGGCCGAAAGCTACTGCTTTCGGAGTTCTCCAAGATAATGCAGCAGGTTAGTCCCTCAAAATTTGTCTGATAATTTTTTATTTTCAGAATATCATTGCTATTATGATTCCATTGTTTTTTGCCAGAAGATTAACTGTGTTCGTTTGTTATTTTTCTTGTAATACAGGGATTCGCCTATCTACCGGCAGGAGTATGTGTTTCGAGCATGGGCAGGCCTATCGCATATGAACAAGCCATTGCATGGAAGGTTCTCAACGACGATGACTCCAATCACTGCCTTGCTTTCATGTTCGTCAACTGGTCCTTTGTCTAAATGCAATAGATGAGCATTAAGACTTTGCAACACTCGGTAGCTTTAAGTTATGTACTGGTTTCTACTTTGTTGAAAGCACATATAACATATAACTAGGTTCAGAACTTGTGACGTATACCTTGTATCTGCTTGGATCTATGTTCGGTCCATACATCTATTTCCACTAATTCAAAAGTCACTATTGCTTCTCGACCATGACTTGCATACGACTGATTTCGTGTACCGCCGCTTTTGATCTTAAGCTCCACACATGCATTGTTTTCGTAAATTTATATGTTATACCTTTTGTCGAACGTTGGTCATTTGATATTCACCATTTCTAGCTCGATATTGCTTATAAATTGAGGGACGGAAGTTTGAAATTCTATGAGACTATATGACAAATGCATAGCCCATGTTTGCCTTCCATCAACCACCCAACTCATAATTATTATCCATTTATTCACTACTTAGTTTTTATCACATTTAATTAAATAACTTATAATGAAATCCAAACAAGCGCATCCAGAGTCGAAAATCGAGGCATTGTCTCTACGAACGTCTCTTTCATTCTGGTACGGTACAGAGTGCAGATAGAATTGTTCCTTTCTGTTTTGTTCATATGGTCCCGTGCACTTTCTTTCTCAACTTTCCCTTGCTCACTCTCCTTTTTCTGGTGAGAGAGAGATTCTGACAAGCGTGCAATTTGAGTCCTTTTCATGTCAGCACTGTTGTGTTAAAGAAAAAAACGGGTCTTGGGTTTATCAAAGCGATAAAGACAATGTGAGGTTCAATATCCAGAGAACGGATTAGGGTTCTAAGCAATGATGAACTTGACCAAATTTGCAGTTCTTTTAATGCTTTCTTGTGCTAGGGAAGAAGAGAGTTTAATTCAAATCATCCACATATTGTAGGAGAATTTGGTTAAAAGGTTTTCAACTTAATATTTCAAGTTTAAAATGCCTCAAAGTCTTCATTGATAAAAAGATATAGATAGAAGGATATATAAGTTGCTTTCATTGTTTTCAAATTAAAATGAGAGGAATAATATATTTTTTTGAAGAATGATTGGTTGAAAAAGCAAGAAAAATTTTCGATTTACGTTTTAATATTATTTTATAGAAGATTGTGTGACTGAAAATAAAAGAGAGAGAAATAAAATTTAATTTAATGGGAACCAAATGGGGCTCATGATCCATGCACCCGCCCCTATACCCCCCAAAGCAGTACTCTCCCTAGGCAAACCCCTCCTTCACCTGTCTTCCCGTGTATGTCTATCCCACCTTGGCCAATTCCTACCTGGCTAAGCCCCACGGTGCACAACACAATATGATATATGAGGGTGTTTGAGCTTCATTTTTGTGAAAATTTTCATTTTAGAATAGAAGATTAATGAGAAATTGTGGTTGAAAAAAAAGAAAAAGTTACTTGTAATATTATTTTAATAAATAATGTGTGGTTAAAAAAAGAGAGAGAAAAATATATTTTTAAAAAAATGGGAATCAAACAATGCCATAGTATATCCTATGTACAGCCTTCTTTGTGTCAACCCCTTTGCATTTGAGCCCCCCAATCAATATCTCTCACCATTTCCTTTGTAGCTTGCTCAGAAGGAAACAAATATTTATAATAAAATAGTATTTAGGGGGTGTTAGGATCACATTATTCCAAAAAAGTATATTCTTAAACAGTGATTTCACATCATTTTAATCACACATTTTTCAATAAAATAATATTACACGCAGATCAAAAAATTTTTCTTATTTTTTAACCACACATTTTTCATCAATACAC